ATAAAGAAAACAATATGTAAATAACTATAAAGTAGCTAGATACAAGGCAGTGTGGAGAGCCAAGTGATGGTTGGAAAGATCTGGAAAAGCTTTATGTAGGAGGTCATTCTTGACCTGTTTCTTAAAGGAAGAAGTTTGGATGTAAGGGCCTTCATACCAAGCATGAGCTGTGGTCTGAGCAAAGGCAGGGTGACCAGATACCTCCTGGGGAGCTTAAAGGGGAATTTAATGGCCCCCAAAGCACAAAGCCTCCACTTTTTTCTTTTGTCTTTGTCTTCCCTTATCTTTTTATATGTCTCCTGCTTTAAGTGTTTTCTAAGCTTTCTTTCCTTGTTTTTATATGTTCTCCCCACACCTGGCACATAGTAAATGTTCAATAAAAGCTGGCCAACAGTCCTGTACTGTTACAGGCATTCCCTTCCCAGGCTTCTAATCTCTGAGACAGAGGTTTTCCTCAGCTGCCCAACCTTCACCTCCTGACTGTGGTTTCAATGAAATTGAACACTAATTAATTAAATTGAGCAGTTAAGTTGAACACTAGACTCATGTTTAGGGAGAACTAGCACTTCCAGTGTGAGGGCTTGCTGAGCATTTTTCAGGGCTGTTCATCTATCTTTGGGGTCTACCCTTCACCCAACTCTCACCTGTGGCTCCCAGAAGCTCTAACATGAGAAGAGGCCACAACCTGGTAAGCTGTCTCAGCACATGGGTTAAACCAGGTGCAGGGTAATCCACAGGCCTCAAACACATGCTGAGTGAAGGGGATGTCCACCTCAAGCATGTGAAGACCTCCCACGACTGAAGGGGTAGATAAGAACAATTTGTTTCAGTAGTTATGAAGGCAGCTGAAGTAGGTTCTGTGGAACACTTAGAGCTTGGTCTGCAATCAAAGACACCAAGACCCGTCTACTTCGTCCTGGGCCGTCGCTGGTGCTCTTGACTTCCGTCTTGCCACTGAACTTCAAAGGAAGAGAAAATGAGGCTGATGGCTTTGTGCAACTCTGTCTCACTTAATTCAATTCATGCCTGAGTCAAGATATCACCTGTGACGTCATTGGTCCTCTCTGAAAGCCAAGGATGGACAACAACAACACTAGACTCAATGTAGTGGTCAATGAATATTTATTAAGCACCTACTATGTGTCAGGCACTTTGCTAAGTGCTGGAGATACAAAAAGAGGCAAAAGATAGTCCCTGCCCTCAAGGAGCTCACAATCTAATGGGAGAGAGAACTAGCAAATACGTATGTACATATGAACTGTATATACGATAAACAGTGAATAATCAAGAATAAGAAGGCGTTAGAATTAAGAGAGGTTAGGAACGGTTTTTTGTAGATTGGATTGTAGATGGGAGTTGAAGAAAGCTTAGGAAACAAGAGGAAGAGATGAGAAGGAAGAGAATTCTGGGTGTGAATTACAGCCAGAGAAGATGCTCAGAGGGAAAAGATGGAGTATCTACTATGTGAAATAGCCCAGAGATCCTTGTCACAAGACTGAAGAATTTTCTGGTAAAGGGTAAGGTATAAGAAAACTGGAAGGGTAGGATGTGGGGGTAGGTGTCAGGACAGAAGGATATCCAACTTTTGAGAGTGTGACCGAAATGAGCATTGATGAGCCTGACAAGAGGTCTGATAGGTAGGAGGATGGTGTCCCCAAAGCATAGAGAGAATATAGCATGGTCAACAGTGTCAAAGGCTGCAGAGAGGTCTAGGAGAATGAGGATTGAGAAAAGGCCATTGGATTAGGCGCCAAAGAGATCACTGGTAATGTTGGAGAGAACAGTTACAGTTTACGATAAGGTTGTGAGCAATATTGGAAGAGGTTAAAAAGCGAGTGGGAAGAGAAAAGGTGGGGGTCCTTACTGTAGACATTTTTTTCAAGAAGTTTAGCCCAAAAGGGCAGAGGAGCTACAGGAGGATAATTGCAGGGCACGGAAGGACTCAGGATTCATTCAGGATGGGGAGACATGGACATGTTTGTAGGCAGCACACAATGAGCCAATAGAAAGGCAAGGATGAAAGAGAATGATAGAGTGGGAATGGCAAAGGGGGCAATGCATGGAGTATATGGGATGACATGGGACCACCTGGGGAGCCAGAAGGGTTAGCCCCTCACTCCTGATAAGGAGGAAAACCACTGCATCCTACTGTTGCCCATTCTTCATTTTTGAAAACCACTGACGTCATGAATAGTGGATGATGGGTGATGACTTGAGGCAAATTGGATTTAAGTGAGGCAGAGTTACACAAAGCCGTCAGCTTGTGAGACAGAATGAAAGAAATAATGACAGATGACATCTGAGGGACATGAGAAAAGGAGAGGAGAAAAGGAAGCTTACAATGGAGGGCATCAATTTTTTTTTCCTGTAAAATATGAGGCAAATTTCTCAGCTGAAAAGGGGAGAGGGAGGAAAGGGAGGTTTTAAAAAGGATGAAAAAGTTTGGAAAAAATCGATTTGGATAGTGAGAGAGTCAATTGATAAGGGAGGCCTAGAAGGATTACCTACTAACAATGCAGACATAGTTGAGCTTGCTCATGCTTTACCAAATAGAAAAAAAGTGTGGACCTTTCTAAAGATTTCATCTACAGCCTCCTCCAACTAACCCTCAGGATGAGTCTCTGAGCACCAGTGTACCAGTGTTCTTCCTGGAAAGGTCACCTAGAGAATGTCAGAAATTCTATGACATAATTATTCTGGAATGTGAAAGAGTTTTTTCCCCTTAGAAAGCCATCTCTCATTCTAAGACACAGTTTTGGGGAACACCTATCAAATATGACCACCATTCCATCGAGCTCACCAAATTAGAGAATTTCAGAGCTAAAAGTGACTTCAGATGGCATCTAGTCCAACCCATGATGGTACAAGAATCCTTATCAAGACTTACCTACAAGAAGCCTTTCCTGTTCCCCTTAATATTAATGCCTTTCCTCCAAGATTACCATCCACTTACATTGTATACATCTCATATGTACATAGTTATTTTCGTATTGTTTTCTCCATTAGATTTTGAGCTCCCTGAAGGCAGGCACTACATTTTCTTTCTTTGTAACCTTAGGATTTAGCACAGTGCCTTTAGTAGGTGCTTACTAAATGCTCGTTGACTTGATTCTATAGTATAACCAGGAACTGGTCATTAACCCTTGTCTTGAAGGTTTCCAGTGAAGGGAAACCCACTACTTCCTGAGGCATCCCATTCCTATGTAAGAGAAATGCTTCTTTAAGAATTTTATTTTTATTTCCTGACATCAAGCCTACATTTAGGTCTTAGCAATGTCCACCATTCCTCCTAACTTTGCCTCCTGGAAACAGTCAGAAAAAGTCATATCCTTTCTCCTCCTTTCACAGGACAGCCTTTCAAATACTTTTAGACCCCTGTTGAATCTTCAAGTATCTTCAAATACTTTGGGTCAGTCTTCACTACTATGTCTTTTCTTCTCCAGATTAAAAAGTCTCCAACCCCTTCCAGCTGTCCTCATAGAGTAGTTTCTCAGCCCTGCAGCATCCTTGATGATGCCCTTCGCAGGTTGTTTTCCGTTACCAGGATGTTCTTTGTAAAATGACCTTAAATGTTCTACCAGAGCTCCAAGAAGAGGCTCAAGGGAAGAAACTGAAAGGAAAAAACATAGAGAGTGGGGAGAAAGGGTTGGGGGAGATGGGCTCAAATGCTTGGTTCAGTGATTGCTTTAGGGAGGCAATGGGGTGAAGTGACTTGCCTAAGGTCACATAGCCAGTAAATGTCTAAAGCCAGATTTGACTCCTGGTTCAAGGGCTGGTGCTCTATCTACTGTGTGACCTAGCTGCCCCGTCTTCATGATCTAGTGCTCTTTAGCTATGTCTCTATTTAGCATTGGTATCATACGCTCTATTAGAGACATTGGGGAGTCTTTGCCAATCCAAAGATTGCCAGAGAAATTGTCAGGGAAATATTTCTCATGAGAGAAAACAGAAACCAAATTAATGAACGGCTCAATTCTGCCTTCATTCTAGACCTGGAGCTGGGAAAAACTGGGTTCAAATCTTGTCCCAGGCACTTACTGTCTGTTTGATTGTGGGCAAGTTATTTAACCTCTCTCAGCCTCGGTTTTCCCATCTGTAAAATGGAGATAACGATAGCACCTAACTCTAGAGTTATCATGAAGTAATGTATGTAAAGTGTTCTTCAAGTCCCAGAGTACTATGTCCTTGTTGGCTATAGTTATTATCTCTATCATCAGTCACCATTGTCCAATCCACCCCAAATAGCTGTTCTTCTTTGCTCTTCCTATTTCCCCCAATATTTTTAAAACATGGAAATTGGTTCTTAGCCCTCCTGGTCAGACTCAGGCCATTCTGAACTGTAGTATTGCTGGCTCCATTCTCCAGGCCTGTGCCAAGTGGACTTTGAGATGCTATAACCATCATTGTGCACAGCCAATTTAGTTTTTGAATGGCTGTAATAGTTAGGAAATTCTTCCCAATATTGAGCCTAAAACTATCCATGTATAACTTCTACCCATGGTCCTGGTTTTGCCCTCTCGGGTCAATGAGCACAAGTCAAACAGATTACCTATTATGGACTTCTAAAAATTTGAATTTGATGTTTGGGACCCCTCTAAGTTTTCTCTCTCAAAAAATCATTTCTCAACATACAGTACCTTCAGAGTGGCATCTGGGATTAGACTTGACACTGCAGATGTGCATCTATCAGGGCAGGAGAAAATGAAATTATCACTTCTTTGTTTGTAGAAACAACTCCTCTATTCAGGAAGCCCCAAATCCCATCAGACCTCTTGGCCAGCTCATCCAGCTGCTATCTCATCTTGAGCTTGTGGTCCACTAACCACCCTACACCTATTATGCATAAACTGCTTTCTAGTAATTTCTCCTTCTCCCCCCTCACTCCAAAATATGTTGGTGCCTTTGAATTTGAAACTAAATGACAGGACTCTATGTTGGGTGGTGATTGACCAAAGGGGAGCCATAGATTGTTAAGAAAGAAGAGCAGAGAGCAGGAGGCATCTTTGACCAGATAGAGCTTTATTGTTGCATTAGACAAATGAGGCAGAGAAGGTTCGATTCAACTCTGAAATCTGGGGAATTTGAGAGGAGATGAATTGATAATCCTGGGGTGTCTCTGTTCCCAAAGGACATCTCAGCAGCTTAGGAGGAGGGATGGGAATGGAAGAGGCTGGGCAGTGGTCTCTTGATTCCTGAAATTCTACTCCTCAGCCAAGGGCAGCAGGTCAGTAACAGCCCCCAGAGCCACCACCACAGCCCCCAGACTGCTGTCTGCGGCCACAGCCACTGTCACAGCTGCCAGGGCTCAGGCCCCTGCATCTAGGGGTTCTCCAATTATGAGAAAAGAGAGAGCAGCCACCTCCAGAGCCAAAGTTACCCCATCCTCCAAATCTTCCCCATCCTCCTGAGGAACCGCATCCTCTAGAGCTACCCCATCCTCCTGAGGTACCGCATCCTCCAAGGCTACCCCATCCTCCAGAGCTACTGCATCCTCCAGAGCTACCCCATCCTCCTGAGGTACCACATCCTCCCAAGCTACCCCATCCTCCAGAGCTGGCGCCCCAGCCAGAAGACACAGGAGCAGAGCATGGAGTCTGGGGAGGGTACTTGGGGGTCTGGCATTTGGGAGGGGGCTGGTACTGCTTCTGGTTTTGCTGGTAGGACATGTCTGGGTGAGTTTAGTAGACCTGAAAGACAATAATGGAGTTTTTCAGATCCTTCAATCCCAGAGAATCTTCTTCCCCCCATTATGAATCAATCCACACTGTGAAGATGAATTATATCTATAACATATTAGTATCTAATAGCAAATATTTTAAAATTTATTCTTATACACAAATGTATTTAGGCAAAAATTTGGAGATCAGGGAAATGAATATATACCACTACTATTGAGGGTTAGGAATATTTTGTGAACATGTCTATGTGGCCTGATAGGCAGCATTGTGTCCTGGCCAGGGACCCAGCCTCGAAGCCAGGAAAATGTGGGTCAAGTCCTGCCTGTGACACAGAGTGCCTGTGTGACCCTGGGCAGGTCACAGCCTCTCAGTGCTCTAGCCAACTTTGTGAGACTATAGAAGCTGCAGAGGAGGTGCTAACTTACATTGACAGAAGGATTTTCATCATGTAAAGGGTTCTTTATGCCAAGGTAATGAGAGGTCCATGCTTTATACTAATTTAATGGGTAAGTTGTAATTTGATAAATTCTGCAGACTCTCTCTTTACAGGCATACACACATATGTGTGTTCTAGATGACAAGGGACAATGACCTCCCCAGAATGCCCAGGCCATCACAAAGATTACAGGACACTACGGAGTTTCCAGGAACACAGATGTCTGCTACTCCCACCCCCTCTAAACATGTAGCTCTTGGCTTTTCTTCTGGGTTGACCCAGAATGATGCTCCATCAGTCTACAATAATAGTCATGATGATGATAGCATTTTCACAGCACTTTGAGATTTCAAAGAACTTTACAAGTACGATCTTAGTTTATCTTCACAACAATCCTGGATTGTAAGTGCTACTATTATCCCTATTTTACATTGAGGATACCGAGGCAGACAGAGGTTAAGTGACTTTCCCACAGCTAGTAAGTGTGTGGGGCAGGATTTGACCTCAGCTCTTTCTGACTCCAGTTCCAACACTCTATCCAATGGACCCCAAATCCAAAGTAGAAGTTTGTATTCTTCACCAGCTGCTGAGCTCCTCATTCAGCTCCCCCTATTTTCTTCTCAGCCCCTCTCTCCTTTTTCAATCAATCTATAAACATTTATTAAGTACCTACTATGTGCCGAGCACTGTACTGAGTGCTTTATTTTCTCCTTTTTCTCTCTTCCTACTCCTCTCTCCCCCTGCTTTGTGCTCTCTCCTTTCCTTCCTCCATCACCCTCCTCCAAGCCTCCCCTGGCCTCTCATGCAGACACTCACCCTGATCACAGACACGGGCAGGATCTCTCTGCTGAAGAACCAGGACGGGTGAGGAGCCAGAGGCAGGGACACCTTTTATAGGCCATCCCAGGCGGAGCTGTTGGCAGCCATCCAGCTCTGTAAAAGGAAGAGTGCCTTCCCCAAACCATGGCATGTGTCAGATAATTCCTGACATTCTTCAGCCTCTTAGTCACAGACGTGAGCCACTCTATGGACCACCGAGTTGCAAAGGACCTTCCATATCATCTACTCCAGCCCCCCAGTATAGAGATGAAGAAACTGAGGCTCAAAGAGAGTGGATAACTTGCCCGTGGTCACACAGGCAGTACTTAGAGCAGCTAGGATTTGAATCCATGCCTTCCATTACCAAAATCAATGCTTTTTTTATTACACCAGGTCATGGTAGAGTTGAGGCATATCTTCCTCCAAGAAAGGGTTATAAAGATGGTGCTTTCAGAAAGTTGTATCCTTTCTGGAAATTAATGGGCCCCTCCTCACAGAGAAGTCTGAGGAATCCCCATAAAGTCCAGGGCTCTACTTTCCATCCCAATTCTGTCTTTCTCTTAATCACTGAGGACTTTGGGTTTGGAGGGCAGTTTGGCTTTTTCATTCATCCATCCATCAATCTATCCATCCATTTGTTCATTTGTTCATTCAATTACCCACTCATTCAATATTTGACAAAAATGTGTTGAGCCAGTATTATGTGCAAAGTTCTGAGCTCCCAGACTACTAGGAATATAAAGGGTAATGAAACAGCCTCAGGGAGCCTGTGACATTGGAGATTACAGACAAGTACAGAAATAAATAAACACTGGGCCATATAGGGGTGGGGTATTGGGCCCGAGATTTCACTGGCATTTGGAATTCCTTAGGACAAGAGTCTCAATCTCCTTGTGTCATGGACTCCTTCGGCAATTTGGTGCAATCTATGAACCCCTCAGTAATTTTTTGAAGTAGTATTTAGTAATAATGTTTTTAGTATATTTAGTGTTTTTAGTACTTAGGAGTATTATATTTCTTATGTTTTAGATATACCATACATGTAGGATTACAAAAGAAACTAATTATATTGAAATAGTTATCAATTATTTTTTAAAGTTTAATCAATCCACATGCAGAGAAAGAACTATGGAATCTGAATGCAGATCAAAGTATGCTCTTTTCTCTTTTTTTTAATTTCATCTGGTTTTTTTGTTTCATTCTGATTCTTCTTTTATAATGTGGAATGTATGTGGAAGCACGTGTAGTGTAATTTTACATGTAAAGCCTATATCAGATTGCAGGCCTTCCTGGGCAGGGAAAACTGGAGGGAAAAGGAAGATTTTAGCACTTAACATCTTATAGAAGTGAATGTTGGAAATTTAAAATAAATAAATGTATAAGAAAAGAGCAAAAAGTTTAATTAATCAATAAACATTTATTAGACACCTACTCTATTCCAGGCACAATTCTAAGCTTAGGATGTGATCCATTACATCAGGACTGAACCCCTCCCCTAGATGATGAATCTCCCATCATTGCAGTACAGCAGCTTCTGTACTACTTATAGTCTCAGAAATTACCTGAGCACTTAGTGGCTAAGTGTTTTGCCCAGGGTCACAAAGCAATTCTTAGTCAGGCGCTGGACTTAGAAACTGGCCTTCCTGGTTCTTAGCTAGCTCTCTGCTCTCCTGTACACAGCCTCTCTATTGTGTTAGGTAAGGTGGGAAAATGCTTTCAGAAAGGGGTAGACAACATACCATAGGAGAGGGGCTGTGAATTCTGTGTGTGTTGTGGACCTTTTCGTGGGGTCCATGATGGACATCGTGCATGATCCATAAGGAAGCCAATGGACCCCTCTCAGAATCATGTGTTTAATGTGCATATAATGTATTTAAATGCATGCAATAAAATCTACAGAATTACAAAGAAAACAAATCATGGAAATATAAATGCTTATTGACTGACTCACTGAAATGCAGTTACTAAATCTTTAAACAGATTCTGCTATGGGAAGTTAGTGCAGGGTAATATCATATTTAGCTGAGGTACCCAGGGGTATCAGCATGAATGAGGAGCTTTATGAGGGGGATTCTTGAAGGATGAGAATGCATCTGACTTTGCTCTTCAATATGTTGTCACTTATTGTCCCCATCAATGTCTGATCATATCTGTAGAATGTTCGCTATGGAGGGGAGGATGTGAAACCAAGGGTCCAACAGTTTTCACACTAACTTTATTCCCATCTCATTCAAAACACTCTTTTTACATGTTAGGAAACCAAGGCCCTAAGACATGTGATAAGTTGCCTGGTCTTCAAATACTTAGTGACAGAGCAGAACTATGAGGCCGGGTCCTCTGCCTCAAAGTTCTACCTTATCATGTTGTTTCTCCTTCTATAGACAAGGGTTTTCTAACAGTTTCTAGGTATGACACAGCTCTGATGCAGCCGTGACCATTCTAAGACACAACAGGACACCTTGGGACAGGCACCTCTCTTCCTCCCCTCCCAGCATACAGTCACGTTCCAGGTCAGTCACTTGTGGGTCTACCCCCCAGCCTATTTCTTCCTATTGTATTTATGTCCTCTCACTTTCACACCCACAGGCCTGTGGACATCCCCGTGTACCAAACGTACTCAGACCCAGGGCAGCCATTGTCTCCTCCCTATAATTGTCACCGCCTCCAAAGAGGAGGAAAAAAAGGATTTAATGCATTGTATCAGTCCTGGGACACGCCAAGATGTCTCACCTCCCCTACAGTAGGACAGGCCAGGCAAGCTCCAAATTCTCTATTAGTTTGTTGTTGTTTTTCAACTCATTTTCTTTCTGAGAATAACAAAATATCTGTCATAGCCATACATGCACTCACTGTTATTGTTTTTGTTGAGTTGTTTTTCAGTCTTTTCTGACTCTTTGTGACCCCATTTGGAGTTTTCTTGGCAAAGATACTAGAGGAGTTTGCCATTTCCTTCTCTAGTTCATTTAACAGGTGAGGAAACTGAGGCAAACAGGGGAAGTGACTGGCCCAAGTTCACCCAGCTAGCAAGTGTCTGAGGACATATTTGAACTCAGGAATAGGAGTTTCCCTGACTCTATCCACTGTACTAGCTACCAGCCCACTCCCAAGTCTAACATTATATATAATGACACTGCTTTGCATAAGCAACAAGCTTGGCTTTCTCTTCATTAAATTACACTTTGATGAACTGGCATCAACCCAACCAGTGACCTCAATTAATCAGGCTTTCTCTGCAATCTACTTTCAGGGCAAAGAAAAAGATAACAAGAAAACAAGTTGATTCCAAGGATTTTCTTTTGACAAAATCAACCTCAGGACATCATCTGGGGTCAATGTTGGTTGAGGGTAGTATCTGTCCCTTTAGTCAGTTACAGGAAAAGTCCTGCACAATTATTAGTAATGCTGAGCAGAATGAGCACCATGGCCCTGGTGTCCTTCCAGATCCCAAAGCAAAATTAGCTCTATTTCATAGACTTTAGTAAGGGAGGGAACTGAATGAATATACTGAAAAAAGGTGTATATCCTTGGGTATTAAGGCCTGACCCTCAGGCCTTTGTATAACCATGAAATACAATGATGTAGGTACCAATAAATAGGAAACTATGCTTTTGGTAAAAGAAAAAATTGGGTTTTGTAGTGCTAAATGCACTAGATTTTGACTCATGAATCCCTAGCTGGGTCCCCAGCTGCACCATTGCCTTGTTGGGTGACTTTGGATAATTGGCTTAGCATCCTTGATCTCAATTTTCTCATCTGTCACACAAGGGGGTTGGAGTAGAGAAATGGCATCAAACTCAAATAGAAATGCATATTGACTTAGAAAATGACAAATTAACATTATCTACACTGTGTTACATTTTTATTTATTTTTTGGGACATTTGCTAAATACATTTTAATATGGTTGGGGCCTCACTCTGGAGTTTTGAGGCTATTTGTACCAATGAGTTTGACCCCTCTGGACCACAGAGTGGTCCCTGCCCTTTCCTTCCCCCACAATGATCATAACAATCCAACTTACTTAGTATCCTAAAGTTTTTTATATTTAATTTTGTACTTATATTTAATTTTATATTATATATATTTTACATATATATATATATATATATATATATATATATATATATATATATATGTTTATATTTATATTTAAAGCCCTCCTCTCTCCAAGCTTTTGTGAAGTAGGTAGTTCAAATATCATTGTCCACATTTTACTGCGCAGGGTAATCACAACTATCCCTCTTTCATTGTGGAAGGAACTTAGGTTTAAAGAAGCTACTTGATTCGGTGGTGGGGATACAGACACCTAGGGGTAGCTATGTGATACAGTGGATAGAGTGCCAGGCCTGGAGTCAGGAAAACTCATCTTCACCAGTTCAAATCTGATTCAGATGGTTACTAGCTGTGTGAACCTGGGCAATTCACTCAATGCTACCTCATCTGTAAAATAAGCTGGAGAAGGAAATGGCAAACCACTCCAATATCTGTGCCAAGAAAACCTCGAACGGGATCATGAAGGAAACATGACATGTTTCTGTCTTGGGGACACAACTGAAACAATCCAATAATGATAACAAAATACAACTAGTAGGTGTCAGAACGAGAAATCTCTCCCAGGGCTCCTGATTCCATATCCAGTGTTCTTTCTACTATACACACTGGATCAATCAATTGATCCATAAGCATTAATCAGACTTCTGCTTCTGGGAGCCAAGATGGCAGAGTAAAAAGGTAGTCACTCTCATCTTCCCCTACCAACCTCTGTTCCCCAACAGGAGAGTTCAATCTCTTTAAAGGCCAGGGAATAAAGAAACACCAATAGTAAAAAGAAATGTACCATAGATTCATATTATGAGAAGAGTGAAGATCAAGACAGAAATTCTGAAGAGGACAACATTGTCAACAAACCCACATCTGCAACATCAAAAGGAAATATGAACTGGTCTGAAGCCCAAAAAGCCTTCTTAGAAGAACTCAAGAAGGATTTTAAAAGTCTAATGAGAGAGGTAGAAAAGTCCTTAAAAAATACAATTGGCCAATTGGAAAAAAAGTACACTGAAGAAAACAAATCCCTTAAAA